GAGTGAGTGAGTGAGTGAGCGTGTGTGATGCACGAGTGAGTGAGTGAGTGAGCGTGTGTGATGCATGAGTGAGTGTGAGTATGAGCAGTCCGGGCCGGGCCGGGAGGTGCAGCTCACCTGGAGGTGGAGCAGGCTGTTCTCCTGGAGGTAGAGGTACTGCAGGCTGACCAGGCCGCGGAAGACGTTGCCGGGCAGGCTGCTGAGCTGGCAGCGGTACAGGTGCAGGGACTGCAGCCGCTCCAGGCCCTGGAAGGTGTCGGGCTCCAGGGAGCGCAGGTGCCGGTTGTCACCCAGGTCCAGCTCCTCCAGGGCCTGCAGGTGGCGGAAGGTGCCCGGGTAGATGGCGGAGAGGTTGTTGGAGAAGAGCCACAGGGTGAGCAGGTTGGGCCCGAAGGTGCCGGGCCGCAGCGTGCGGATGAGGTTGTTCTGCAGGAAGAGGCGCTGCGTGCTGGACGGCAGGGCCAGCGGCACGGAGGAGAAGTTGTTGGCCTGGCAGCTGACGGTGGGCGGCGTGGAGTAACACGTGCAGAGCATGGGGCAGCTGGGGGCCGCGGGGGGCAGGGCCAGGAGCATCAGCAGGAGGCAGGCTGAGGTGGGACCTGCCAGGGGAGGAGAGGGCTCAGCCCCCAGCCCCGTCCTGGCCCAGCCTCTGCTTCCAGGCGGGGGTGGGGTGGGGCCTGGGTGCAGCCTCAGTGTGGCCAGAGGCCCCACTCACTGCTCCAATCTCCTGGTTTCTCGAGCAGTGAAGAAAGAGCTAAGATGACACTGTGCAAAGCCCTGGTGCACTCACGCGTGTTGGGTGTGCGACGGGCTTCTTGGGTTCCTGCTGTCATCTGCTGGGTGCGACCTTGTGCACTGTCCGGGCTGACGGACCTGGGTGTCGGGAGCTGGGTGGGACAGCTCTTTGCCTGGGGGCAGTCCTGTATGACGCGCTATTTAGGGTTTTTAGCAGCGTCCCTGTTCTTACCCACTAGATGCCAGTCACACCTACCCCCAGTTTTGACAGCCCAAATGTCTCCAGACGTTGCCAAATGTCCCCGGGGGAGCAAATTCGCCCTTTGTGAGTTGCAGCCATGTAATGACCCTCTGGTCGCCCAGGGATCCAGCCGTCCTCCCTCACCCCTGCGGCATCTGCTTTCACAGAACCAGAGCCTCCCACGGGAGGGGCCCTGGGGGCCAGAGGTCGGGGTCCACCTAACTAGGACCACCTGCCACTTGCATTCTGGAAAGAGTCAGCTTCCTGGACCCTGTCGTGAGGATGCTGGGAGTCTATTTTACACCCAGGCACTTCTCACTCAAAGTCACTTAAAAATACTTTGTTCCCTCAAAGCAACTTTTGCAGGTGGGATCTGGGGCCCAGACTGGAGCTCAGGTTGCCTAGCCCTGGGCTGTGCTAAGAAGAGGGGGGACCCTTGTCCATCTGGGCTCACTCTCATACCCTCTAGGTGAGGCTAATAAGGCTCTGGGCTGGATGGAGCTCAAGCTCCATCCTTTATCTAGATGCTCCTGGGGTTTCTTCTGGAAGGTTGGCCTGGGGACAAGGGCGACCAGCACCTCCAAAGCTGGGCACTGTGTCAGGCCGGTGAAGGACTGGACGGGACAGACCTGGCCGCTGGCCCCACGGGCTCAGACCCCAGGGCTCCTTGGGGGACAGCGGAGGGCACTGTCTGTAAGGGAGGCCCTGTGGACAGCGAGCGGAGGTGTGTGTGGTTGGGGTGCGGGCGTGAGTGGGGTGCACCGCTTGCAGGGTGTGTGGCCGACGTGGCTCCCGGGTGGCCCTGGTGTGGGGCTGCCCAGACCAGGATGGGGCTCCACGCCCATGTGTGGGCCTCAGGACATGGGGGGGGCACCCACGTGGTCCCGAGCCCGTGCCCCGGCCGGGCCGCCGGCGTGCGTGTGCGCTGGCTGGGCCCCGCGTGTGTGTGAGTGCCAGGCCCCGTGCGTGTGTAGGCTGGGTGTGATGTAATGCTCAGTGACACAGCCCCTGGCTGCTGCATTCCTTCACACCACCTCCGCGATTCTCGGCCCTTCTCACCCCTCCCCCGGGCGGCGTTTCACGATTACTTTCTCCTCCTGAGTTTTCAAAGCCACGTGGGGTGCAGGAGCACGTCTCTCACCCTCAACTGCACTCGCCAGGGGTGGGGCGTGGGAGTGCCTCTGGGAACCCTGGGTGGGTATCGCCAGTCCGGGGTTTGTGGCCGAGAAGATTTCAGAGTCGGTTGTCCAGGTTCTTTTAGTTCAAGTTCTTGTTCTACTTTGGTGACACTGGGGCTCAGACAGGGGCAGTGAGTTGCCCAAGGTCACACAGCAAAGTGATGGATCACTAGGGCCAGGACCAGGAGTCCCCAGCTGCCGGCCATCGGGGTACTTCCCTTTCTGTCAGTCACCCTCGGAGCTCGCCTTCCTGAGGACTTGACACCAGACAAGACAAATCCTCTTCTGATCCCTTCATCTCATCCCTCATTCCTGAGCTCACAAGTGTGCCAGCTCTCAGGAGCTTTATGGAACTTCCTGGACTCTGGCACTGACCGGACCCAGCAGGGACAGAGGGAAGGACAGCAGCTCCGGTGGTCACTTTGCTGGCACCAGGGTCCTGCCAGCCTGGTGGGGGAGCTTGGCAAGAGCTTGGCAGGGGATCCCCTCCCACCCCTCTTAGTCACATTAGGGGGCTCCTCTGGCCTTCCCCAGCCGGCGCCTCCATCACGGTCCACCTCCCCAAGGCCGGGAGGTGTCCTGCAGCCTCTTTGGAGGGACCCTGAGCAGGGCCCTCCTGGCAGCGGCTGCGTAACAGTGGCTGTTGCCATTTCTGGCCTCACCGCCGCCGTGCAAGGCAGCTGTAACCCAAGGAGCCTCATCCATAATTCAGGCTGCAGCTCTCACTGGAGGCTGGGAGGAGGGGAGGCGGGAGGGTGGGTTTCTCTGCCCCCAGGCCTGCTGAGAGCTGGGGGCAGAGGTGGGGCTGGTGAGCTGAGCCTCCCCCTGCCTTTCTCTGCTGGCCTCCAGTCCTCTCTTTGAGGTGCCCTTTTCCTTCCCACCGCTGCCTCTCACAGCTCCCACTGCCACTCCTCCCTCCAGGCTGGCATCCCCCACCCCCAACCTTCCCTGGCCCCCATTTTGTGAATTCCCCACAAAGACTGGGGCAAAATGCGCTAAGCTGGAGGGGGGGTAACGCTGCAGCCAGGAACCCCTTATTTCACAGGTAACGGCCCGAAGGCCGGAAGGGTCAGTTTCTGTGTGAGCTCACCCAGGACGCCTTCACAGCATCTTTCTCAAAGCCTTCCTGGCCTCGCTCCAACAGGGCAGGGTGAACCCTTCCCATGGGCCTGGCCACCCTCTCAGCTCTAATCCCTTTCCTTCTCCCTCCTCTTTTGCTCTCAACTCAGCAGGCAATGGTTAGGGTGGCAGGGAGTGTACCAGGACACGGAGGAGTCATCCGTTTTGAAGCACCTACTGTGTGCCAAGCACTGTACCTGCACACGTCTGTATGCATGGAACACACAACACAAGCCCCATGAGATCACTGTTCGGGCTCCCCCACCCCCGTTCACAGATGAGCAAAGGACGCTGAGAAGGTGATTAGCTACCTTGGGCAGCTGGCACAAGGCGGACTTTGGGCTGAGCCCACTCATGTCAGGAGCCACTCTGCGACCTTTCCTAGGGAGACCCCAGGTCACTCCTGGAAAGCCACCCCAAGTGTGAGAGACGCTGCCCTGGAGGGAGAGGGAGGACAGCCAGATGGGATCTGTTTGGCTGTTTGGGTCAAGGCAGGAAGGACCTAGGTCCTTTCAGCAACTTTCCTCCCCTGCCTTCGGGTCGTGGCCACTCGAAAGGACAGCCCATTTGGGAGTCAAGAAAGAGATGGCCAATGTCTAGCAGATGTGGCCAGGACTGACCAGGGGAGGCAGCGGAGAGAGGCCAGAAGTTGGTATTGATCCCGGAAGGCTGAGCCGCCCAGAGCCAAGGAGCATCCATTCACTGAGGGAGGTCCTCAAGGCTGTCACCCAGGCCCGGCTCGAAACAAAGTTCTCACCGGGGCAGGTGGGGCGGGCCAGGCTCCGCCTTGCGTTCAGAATGAGCTGGAAGAGGCAGCAGATGGAGTAGGGGCTGGAGTTGGGGTGCACCCCCCAGGACAGAGTGGCCCGGGAAAGGTGCTCCCTGGAAAGGGGTCAGCGCCTCTGGCTCTGGAGGAGGGACTTAGGGTCCCAGATCAGAAGCAACAGCGCCACACCCGAAAGCCAGGAAGGGAAAGGGCTGGGACCTGCCCGGCAGATGCTGAGGGGGCAGGGGCTGAGGAGGTGGGATCCTGGAGCAGAATAGAGGTGGTAGCGACGCCAGTGACGCAGGGGCCTGGGGAGGCACTGACGCGGGCGCCGAGGTTTAGAGCTGCTGCAAACAGCTTCTCACTCTGCCAGAATGTAACACCCCAAAATAAGCAGCCGCCGTGGTGGTGGCGGGGATGGAGACGCCGGCAGGATCCCGACGACGGGACCCAGAGATATAAATGGCAGCACGAGCCAGCCAGGGTGCCCACCGTGGAGGCTGTCTCCCTGCTCAAATATCCTTCCCCGCCCCCCCACGGCCACCCCCAACGGAGCTCGGGGCGCTGGGTCTGGGCCCCCAGCCACTCCCTGAGGCAGGGATGTGCCAGGCGGGCGCTGGGGGAAGGAAGCTTTCCTCGTGGAAGGGGTAACCAGAAGCCTCTTTGTCTCTGCCCGGAAAGCCCCCCGTCCCTCTCTCCCACCCCTTTCTCTCCCTCCTCCCCTTCCCTTTCCCACCCCTTATTCTGATCAGACCCCAGCCCCTCTCCATCCGCGGTTCCCAGCCCTCATCCGAGCGCTCATTTTTGACTTCCTGCCCCTCTCCGCCCCGCCCCTCCTCCGCTTTCGGAGGGCCCTAGCCCGGTCCCCCCCAGCCCCCCAGGGTCCCGGGCTGCGTTTTCTTTCCCGTGGCCGCCCCCACTCTGGGTCCTCGGGCGGGTCTTCTCCAACCCTCCCCTAACCTGCCCTTCCCCTCTCTCCTTGCTCCTCCGACCTCACCTGGCTCCCACTTTCCTGCTCACTCCCTCCTCCAGCTTTTATGCCTCGTCTTCCTCCCCTTCCCAGTCCCCCCACCCACTTTCTCCGGCTTCGGCGACCCCTTCCCCACGCCACCCCCAACCTCGGCCCACACCCTCGTCTGGCACTCAATGCGCTCGACTGGCAGCTTCCTAGCGCCCTCCATCTGCCCCACCCGGGAGGGCCGTTTGGGTTTCCCTCTGCTCCCCCAACCCTCCCAACGAGCCCCCTACCACATCCCCAGTCTACCCAGGTGGCTGGAAAGTGCTGAGGCACCGGGCGAGGAGTTGCTGAGTCGGCGCTTCCCCAGCCGGCCCGAGTCCTCAGCGTGCCCGGGAGCAGGTGGAGCCGGGACAGCGGAACCTGAGCACCCCCCCGACACACACAAGCCCCGCCACCTCCCCCGCCGGCCGCGGCGTCCCCCTCGGTCACCGGCGCCCGGCCCCTCGCGGCGAGCAGTTGCTGAGTCGGCGCTTCCCCAGCCGGCCCGAGTCCTCAGCGTGCCCGGGAGCAGGTGGAGCCGGGACAGCGGAACCTGAGCACCCCCTCGAC